CAGTGTGTGTAGATAGCGAACTGGAAGATGTTACTCCACTGGACGAAAAATTACTTCGGGAAGGCCTTCAACTTTCCGGTAAATTGGAAAATATTTTTATTCAAAATGATAATGATGTAGAACGCGCCTTAAAATTCCAACGTGATCTGAAATTTTGTATGTCTGGCTACAGAGAACTCTACAAAGAACTAGTCAAGCCATCACAGCGTTTGATTACTGACTACCTTGTCAAAGAAAAAAAAATCACTGAAGTTCCTAAAGAAGCATTACCATGTAGATCTGATGACGTAATTTTATCTTCAAGTGATGAAAGTGATCTTGCACCAATCCACAAACGGGTTCGCACATTATCAGACAGCGAATAATGATGAAAACATTCTTAATATGATTTTAAATAAAGTTTTGTTTATGTTTTTTTTTTACATATTAAGTTTTGTTTTTGTTATTAACACACATATGTGCCATTTATTAAAATATGATGAGAAAAAAATTAAATCTTATTATTTATAAATCTTTTTTTATGCGATTTCTGGTGCATTTTAAAACATTATTTAGGTTTTATGCGATTTTTTTAATAAATGGAACGTATCCATCATTTTACATATAAATGTATGTCTTTTTTTGTGCGATTTTTTTTATGCGGATTCCCCTGGAACGCATCTACCGCATAAAAAAAGAACCAATTGTATATGTGTGAGTCTAAGAGTATATAGAGTAGAATCTGTAAAAGCTTATAGTGAAAATTCCAGGTCTCTATCCCGAATATTCTTCGAGTTAATTGCAAATTGCGTTGCAAATTTGCCCTTTCGATCGCAAGCAGCGCCTCTAGCGGTGAAGATGGGAGGTAATATCAGCTGACCTAATGTACATGTAAAACGAGTTTTAACAGGACATAGAGAAAAATCTGGAAGAGATATTTGTTGCATTTTTAGCCAAGAAAAATTTAAATTGACAGGTTCTGGGCAAAAATATTTGTTTTTTAGACAGAAAGGATGATGACAATATTGCTGTATCATGTTGGATTATCAGATACAAAATTATATCGGAACAAATTCCAAAAAGCAGAGATCACGGGTGAATCCAGTTAATTTTAGTATGCGCAGGAACAAATTTCAAACAGAAAAACATTCATTCGAGCAGAAGACACAAAGCCAGATCATCTCTCTATAAAAATATCGCTTCTCAGACACAAAGTTTGGAGCGGGACGTTTCACAAGAGTGATATCCACGGCTCCAATTTATGATTGTAACGAATAGTATTTGAAAATCAAAATAATAGATTACATTTTTATTTTTATATTTTAAAATCACACAAAGTTAGGAGCGGGACGTTTCACAAGATTGACATTCAAGGCGCCGGGCGTTGCCCGGGTCATTCGGTTAGTTTTAAATAAAAGGGGAAAAGGGTCTCATGGATCTATTATTTAAAATATGAACTTTTAAAAAATTGAGTTCTAAAAAATTCAATTGTCATCGTGATTAAGCAAATTAGAATAAATGCTGAAACTGTTAAATTTATATAAAAACTTTTTATATAGCTTAAATAAAATGAGGTGGTAGGTCTTATCGCATACACTCAGGACAAAAATTAAGGAAGCGAAAGTCTTTGATGCCGGTTGTCTATTTTTTTTAAAGAAGACAGAAGCAAATTTGTTCACAATTTGTTATCTCGTGTGTCTTCAATAAAGGTGACTGTAATATCTTTCAGAGTTATTGTCTGAATCCCAATATATACATGGTAAAAGGTACAAATTCTTTAAATTTTGTCCCCAGGAGTGTGTATATTGATAGAATAAGATAAAGAATTAAGTGAAACATAATGTCTTGATGAAATCCTTTTTCACATAATTTTATATTATGAAAATTCAAAACTATTATAGACGCGTATGATTCTTTTTGAAATTAAACAATTTCTACTGTCCTTACTGCAAAAAATACTGAAAATATTAATGGGAGGGCCTGGCTCATCAGTAGTGAACCCTCCTAGCGGTTTCGCCAGTTTAATATATCATACCGCTGTTATATTGCATTTTACGATCTTCCTTTTATAGTGATACTGTTGCTAGACTCTTGAAATGGGTAGTTTAGATGAATTCCAAGAGTCTAGCAACAGTATCACTATAAAAGGAAGATCGAAAATTGCAATATAACAGCGGTATGGTAGATTTAACTGGCGAAACCGCTGGGAGGGTTCACCACTGATGAGCTAGGCCCTCCCATTTAATTTTCCATTGCAGTAAGGGCAGTATAATTTGTTTAATTTCAAAAAGAATCTTACGCGTCTAAAATAGTTTAGATTTTTCATAACAGATGGCGCGCTAGTGCATCATAATATTTTATATTATGTAATGTTCTCCAAATTTATTAGTAAAATATATAGTCTCTCTTGTGGACATACATAATATTAAAATTCGAAACTATTTTACATACATAATATCCAGGGATTTATTAAGGTAGACTTTTAATAAGAGTTTCGAATGGCTGCATTTGTAGACCGGTTCATTGAATGGCCATTCTTTTATATTGTTACGTCGTACCCAGACGTTGTTCGTTTTATTTGTCTGATCAGGTTGTCACAAAGATACACACGTGAGTTAGAAGGGATGCAGCAAAAGTTAGCGCTTTATTATACGTCGGCCTGAACTGAAGGAATACAATCAGTGGGACTTGCCTTCAACCTCCTCGTCAGAAGAATTCTTGGCGATGTGTGTGGATATCACTCTTGTGTTCCGCTCCACACTGTACACGTCCAGCCTGAACTACACCGCCTTGTAGGCCGCTCCGATGTCAGGTTTCCTGGTACTGTATTGTAGGATCATCCACACGCCAGGAGACAACTCGCCGCGTCTTCTACCGAAGATGTCAATGTGACTAGACTGTATGTTCTCCCCCACATTGGAATTCAGTTTTTTTGGCGCCTGTTCCTCTCACACTTGGGCCATCCCCAGCAGCTGGAGTCAACCCCTCTTTCCCCAACTTTACTCTGGAACCTTGGCCTCTCGGATAGCTTGCTATCCATTTCTCAATATTTGGTAAGTTTTGATTGTTTTTAAATAAATTTAAATTAATTTTTCTGCCTAATTTTGGGAAAATTATCTTATAAATATAATTTAATTAATTCAAGCTTTCGAGCATTAGAACCCTTCTAAAGAAGCAATAACCTTACTCATGTAAAAGGGCTCCAAAAGACCCGAAAGCTTGAGTTAATTAAATTAATATTTTGCAAAATATTTTTACCTGGATAAATTTTTCATTAAATGATATGATACAAGGGATTATTATATTCAGAAATTGATTTATAGATAAAATATTTACCGGAAGGATATTGATTTATAAAAATAACGGTCACTTCTCCCATCAAAATAGAGGTCAAATTAGGCCTCTATTGACCGTCTCCGCAAACTAGCAGCCTCAGATCGGTGACAAAGCCACAACACCAACTTTGGAAAACTTTGAAGTGGACGGCCTAGAGTGAAAGTCCACACAAAATAATGCGATCAGATTATTGCGTTACCTTGAGAGGAGGTAGAACTCTCTGTCCGTTGGTGGAGCACAGATCAGGTCTTGACTGATGGCCACATGAGATGATATTGGCCGTTCAGGACAAAGTCCAGCATCATGGCTGCGTCAGCTAGAACGGCTCCTATTTGTTAAGTTACAGCCCTCTGTGTGCTCTCTAGATGGGTGAGAACGGCAATTGCTCTAGAAGTGACGCTTAACCTGTCCAGGAATACTTGAAAGTGAGCATACATTCACTTTTTATAATTCTATAGGAGGATGGTATTGATGAATCAAAAAAGGCACTTCTTCTTTTAAATAAATTTATTAACCCACACCATACTTTTATAGAAAATTTGAAGTACTGGTTCAAATCACATTAATAGGTACCGCTCAGCAAGAGCAATCTAGTTCATGATAATTGAACAATGAATAATAAGTGATGGTTATTCACATATTAAACAATTTTTAACATGGGATTCAATCCCGGTTCATGACTGTCGGGAATCGAGCGTGTTACCCTCTCATCCACCGACTTATTGTCGGGAATCGAGCGTGTTACCCTCTCATCCACCGACTTTTAATTTGAAGTACATTTTTAACAAGATCACACACATAAATATTAAAGACAAAAAATGTATATCTTAACCGCTCGCTCATATGAGCATTTTTAAATGGCAGAGCGCCATCTAGTGGAACAAAAATAATTAAAAAGTTGATAAAAACTTGTTCCTCGATATTTGACTAATCCAATTTCTTGATAAATCAAGAAAATTCAACCACAAATGCGTTTGGGGATGTTGACCTAGCGTGGTGCAGGATGTATCTCAACGAACAAAAAACTGGTCTAAAAGGCTTCCTGAGAAATCAAGATATGTGCATTCAAAGCCATATTTACATAAATACGCTTTTCATGTGAAAAAATATGTAAAATGTTGATATTAAAGACAAAAAAGGCATATAGTGACCGCTCATATAATACATATATTAGTTCATTCTGTTTGTGCGGCATGTCCAAGAGGCTTCCTGAGAAATCAAGAAATGTGTATTCAAAGCCATATTTACATAAATACGCTTTTCATGTTTTTTTTTTTAAGAGGTCAAATGTTAATATTAAAGACAAAAAAGGCATATAGTGACCGCTAATATGATTAGTTCATTCTGTTTGCACTACATTACCTAGTTTCCATAAGTGCACAGACCTACGGCTATCTACCTGTACCTAACAGCCTCAATCTTCACGGCATGGAACTATGTATAATCAGCCGGTGAGAGGTAAAAATAAACTTGCTTCCATAATAAGCCTTTTTTCTAGGGAAGATATCTTTGCCCTTAGGCCACCGTCGGGTCACCTTATCGCTTTGGCGTGGCCGAGGGAAAAAAGGGCATTAAGGACTAAGTTGAGTTTTTAATATACATTAAAAATCCAATAATAATACCTGTTTAGCTTTTAAAATTTGTATGAATATAATACAATACAATATTTACGAATGGAAATATATGTCCAGTGTAGCCTACTGGACATGGTATCTGCCCGGTAAGCGGAACACTGTGGGTTCGATTCCCATCCCTGGACACCTTTATTTTTCCGTTTATCATTACTCTTCACAATTCATTATTTCATGCTTCATCCCTAAGGATAGAAATAGTCGTCATTTCTCCCTAAAATAAATTACGATTTTTCGTTCAAAAGAAACATTTGCGGTAAAATTGTCAAACGTCGTTCTACAATCATAAGCCGCATTATATTGTATTGTATATTATACAACATTTATATTGGGAATAAAAGTCTGAGGAAAAAAAGTGGCCTAAGCAAAATATAAATAGGTTATTAGAAAATGCGAATACCTGTGTGTATTGAGAACAAGTTTATAACATATTAGCCGAATGACCCGGGCAACGCCCGGGTTTTACCCGATTAAATGTTTTATTAAAATACTATTCTTTACAATTATAAATTGGCGTCGTGGATGGCACTCTTTCGAAACGTCCCGCTTATCTATATACCAGATACGAGAAATTCGAGTCCCACGCGAAAAACCCGAACCATGGAAGACCTCCCTGCACCAGAAGCCCCCAAAACTAATTTTACCAACCCCAAATACCCAGTAGGTACCCGTAAATATTCAATTTGGAAACTTCCAGAATGCCCAGAATTAAAAAATGAAGAAGATTCTCAAGCCTTGAAAAAATACTCCAGCGCGGTCGAAACCACCTTTGCCGAGCTAATAAATTTCATTGACTTTTACGAAAGGGAACTGTGCGAACTGCACTCCAACTACCTAGAACACAATACTACAAAAGCCCCCGCGAAGCGCCCAAGAGAAAAATCACCAGTAGCCGCAAAAGAAACAACAACGCAAAAAACAACCTGGTGCTCCAACCAAGGTAATCCTGAACCAAAATTACAATCTAAACAGCCTGAAAAACCTAATGAAGCAAAAACAGTCGAAATGGAAATCGAAGTGACACCAAACAAAATGCCAAATCACGAACAAAACCATAAAAACTCTAACCCATCAAAGAAACCTAACGAAACATTGAATAACAAACCTAACAATCCCACCCCTAACCCCAAGATCAGAATACCACCAATTAAAATAAGAGGAGTAAAGGAATGGTCAGGCCTTAGAGATGGTCTTGTCAATTGTACAAAACAAAAGCCAGAATTTTACACATCAGGCCGATACATCAACGTTCAGACTCACACAACATCGGACTACCGGATAGCTACCAAGTGGTTGGAAGATCGCCACTACACCTTCCACTTCAAGATCCTAGACGACGAAAAGTGCCTTAGAGTCGTCGTCAGAGGTCTCGACAGCTGCATCACTATCCCCGAAATACAAGAAGATCTGGAAAACAAGGGATTCGAGATGTCTAAACTTGCAAGACTACGAAATTCAAGAACAAAGGAGGAGCTCCCACTAATCCAGGTAACCCTTCCCAAGACTGCAAGGAATAAAGAAATTTACAATATCACAGATCTCTGCGACATGAAGTGCAACGTCGAGGCTTACAGGGCTCCCAAAGGCCCCGGACAATGCCATAGGTGCCAAAACTTTGGGCACTCTCAGTTTGAATGCAGGGAAACTCCCAAATGTGTAAAATGTGGAGAAAATCATTTCACATCCGAATGCGCCAAAGAAAAAGAAGTTTCACCTAAATATGCAAACTGCCAGGGTCAGCATACAGCAAGTTGGCGTGGTTGCCCACTATACAGAAAAATAAATAGAGTGCCCCAAACCCAAATTAATAAGAAACCAAACCCCAATACAGAAAAAGAAAAATCCAACCCTACAGGTCCAAACCCTTCTGAAATTCCCCAACCCACTCAAAACAAGAATAAAACTCCATATGTCAATAAAGAACGTCCCAATCCTCCTTCAGCCACTAAGGTCAACCAACTAGAGAGCGCTATCAAAAAGGCTCTCAGTGACCCCGCAAAAATAGAAAACATCATGAAGAACGTTGTAGACACCTTTAGATGTAAATGAATAACAAAAATATGTATAAAAATAGCCTTCGAATCGTTCACTGGAACGCGTGCAGTCTCCGAAACAAAAAAACAACAATTCTCAGAATTCCTGAACGACCACGACATCGACATCGCACTAGTGTCAGAAACCTGGCTTAAGCCGTGCCATAAAATGAGGATTCAAAACTTCATCACCCTCCGCAACGACAGACTAACCGGACAAGGTGGTGGAACTGCCATTTTCATCCACAAGAAGTACAGCCATGCACCTATTCATGCCACCACCTCAAGCCTGGAAACAACAGGAATTTCAATCAAAAACAAAAACGGGTTAAATATGAACCTGTATTCGTGCTACAAACCACCAAACACCTATCTAGATCAAACCGATATCTATAACATTTTTTCAACGGACACACCGACCATCATAGCAGGGGACCTAAACTGCAAACATCCTGCCTGGGGTTCCACCACCACTAACCCAAGCGGGAGAAGGCTCCAAAACGCAATCAACGTTATGGACCTAGATGTGAGCTACCCCGATGAACCTACTCATGACTCACCTCCAGACATCATTGATATCGCCGTGCACAAAAACATCTCCCAAAGCGTATACTCTAAAGTCCTGCACGAACTAACCTCTGATCATCTCCCAGTACTACTTGTGCTACAGGATTTCAAAATCTCCTACTCAAATACAAAAATAAAAATTACAGATTGGGCCCTATTCAAGTACAAAATGGAAATCGCTGAACCTCCTGAACTGATCCTAGATACATCTTCAAAAATAGACGAGGCCATTACACACATTGAAGAACAAATGGTGCAAAATTTGAAAGATTCAACAAAATATAAGGACCCGGAACTAGAACGAAGATATCCACCTCACATTAAAGAAAAAATACGATCCACCAACAGACTAAGAAAAAAAAATGAAAAATACTTGCGACCCCCCGAGATAAATCAGCCTACATGACGGCCCGGAGAGAATCACAGAAACTTACAAGAGAGCACGATAACACCAGCTGGGACCACTTTATCGAAAACTTGAAAGTCACGGACCAAACCATATGGAAAGCCATCAAACGATTATCCAACTCTGAAAAACAAGAAATAACACTGAAGACAAACAATGGGCAGACACTAACCACAGAAGAAGCAGCTGAATCATTTGCCAACAACTATGAAAAACAGTTCACCCCCAATCCCTATACATCCCACTCCAAACCTACTCGTACATACATCAAACGTGTGAATTCATACATGAAAAAAATAAAGAAACAGGACTAGAACCAACAAACATTGGTGAAATAAAAGCGATTATTGAATATCTACCAAATAAAAAAGCTCCCGGAATCGACGAATTACCTAATTAAGCTCTCAAACTGCTCCCTAATCATATACTAGCATCAATAACCGAAATATTTAACGCCTCACTGCAGCTTGCCCACTTCCCTGACAGATGGAAAACGTCCATTATCTGTCCCATACTTAAAAAAGGAAAATCCATCCATGAACCAACAAGCTACAGGCCCATCTCACTGCTACCTGCCATCTCAAAACTATTCGAAAGAATTGTTTTAAGAAGACTCAGAAAATCCCTCGAAGAAAAGAATCCACTCAGACCAGGACAATTTGGCTACCAAGCCAAACACTCAACATTGCACCAGCTAGTAGTTGTCACTGAAAAAATAAGAAAAGCCATGGATCTAGGCCAAATAACAGGAGCCGTATTCTTCGATATCGCCAAAGCATTCGATAAAGTCTGGCACGAAGCCCTTCTCTACAAAATGTGAAAAAAGCACCTTCCCGGAGACATCATAAAAATAACGCAAAACTTCTTAACAAATAGAACATTCAAGGTACGAGTCAAAAATGAACTTTCAACAGCTAGGAACATCCTTGCCGGGGTCCCCCAAGGATCAGTCACAGGACCAACCTTATTTGACATATATATAGACGACTTCCCCTGTATTGAAGACACCTCTTTACACCTATTTGCCGATGATACCGCCATTTCAGCCTCAACATATAACTTCGACAATCTCCACATGAAACTCCAAGAGGCCTGCATCTTTTCCACGCTCTGGTGTAAGGAATGGCGAGTCACAATGAACCCCCAAAAAAGTGAAGCAATCATTTTTTCCAGGAAAAAAAGACAAAATTAAGAAACCTTTAGACGAACTTTTTGTCTTCGAAGACAATATTAAATGGAAAGAGAACATCCGATACCTAGGGATGACCCTGGACGAGCACCTAACCTTCAAAAAACACATCGAAAACAGAATTAATTTGGCGAAAGCTGCCCAACACCGACTATCCCTACTTCTAGGACCTAAAAGCAAATTATCCCTTCATTGCAAAAGAACTATTTACACTTCAATAATAAGACCAATACTCATATACGGCCACCCAATTTTTATGACAGCACATAAGACCATCCTTAAAAAGCTAGAAGTATTTGAAAATAAAATGATCAGAAAAATCATGTCTCCACCCTGGTTCGTTCGGAACACAATCCTCAGGAACGATCTAAATATCGAAAACATCAATGACTACATTATTAGACAATCATTTAAATTTTACGAAAAATCCGAAAAATTAGAAAATCCCACCTTTAAGGAAGCCACAAACTACAAATGCGGAAAAAGAAAATAAGAAATTTGAAACCTAGACAAATTCTCCATCAATTAAGCCAGAATGACGAAAAGTGGAAAAAAAGGAAAAACAAACCCACCTTGAATATCAAACAAGCCCGAAAAAACCTTCTCAAGAAAAATATCCCCAAGGACCTGAGATTCCGGACCCAACGACATCATTATAAATTATAATTGTAAATGAACCCCTGTACATAACCACCCCCCTCAGTATATTGTAAATATGATGATCTAGGTTGCTCTTTTTGAGCGGCACCTAATAAAGTTATTTGGAACTGGAACTGGGAAACGTCCCGCTTCAATCTTTGTGTGTTTTTAAAATACAAAAATAAAAATGTAAATTTTCACAACGATATTTGAAAATTGTATTATTTAGATTTTTTGTATTAATATATTTTAAATCTGATATATACATAAAATGATATGATAATGATATCAAGTG